AGGTTCCAGCTGGGGCTTTAAAACCTGATACCGATTTTCTTAAAATAAATAGCATAAGTAAGCAATTATGAGGGTATTTCTTCATTTGACTGCTTCTGCCACTAAAATAGCAGAGGGCACATAAAGAACAGTGAGTAATAATGTCAGTGAGCACATTTCAGTGAGTTTTCTTCTTCACCTCATTTCACAATGCTGAAGAAAGTAATGATAAAGTTGTGTTGAATGTAATAACTTTAATAAATTATTTATTTAAATCAAGGATTTAGGATACACAAAAAAAGCTGTGTTTTCTTTTGAATTCCTGGTTCCTAAACATAGCTTTTGCAGCTAATAATGGCACATATCCTGGCCTAGCCACAGTGCTGAAAAAAAGATGGAAAAAAATCTGGTTTAGGCAGATTATGGAATTTTAAAAAATTTATAATTCAGATCTAGAATACACTGCTCACCAGTCATAACAACATTGACAGCTGATCTTAGTGTCTAGCATGATGCTTACAAAGGGAGTTGTGCTCAGTGAAGGAGGTACTGTACAGCAATCCGTGTCCGTTCTAACATAGAAGGAATCACATTGCCTCAAGATGTTAAGCTGCCAAAATTGCTACATCAAAATTTAAATTGAGAACAGAGCCCAAATTCACTTGTCCAGCTAAAACAGAAGTGATAAAAAGAGGTGTTACTTTCAGCATCCTTACAATTCAAAAGCAATCAAACCACTAATGCTTTGGGTGTCTGTCTGTAACCCAGCATGTGTTCATACTCCCCCAAGAAAAACACACATCGATACATGAAGTGAAGAAAACATCAAGAATATTTTGGTCAGACTAAAATACCCACATAGGCCCCAATTGGTTTTTAAAATTCCAAACAAAACACATTACAAACAAAGTAAATTAATTCCTTCTATTTAATGCATCACCTACTAGAGTTACTGAGCAGGCATCTGCTCACACTTGCAATGAACTGCTGAGAGGCCAGTGCTGCTCCCTGGTAGACAGCGGCACGACCAGAAGCTTGTAAACTCAAAGACTCAAGGTGTTGAAAGAATGAAAAATTGCCTCAAGCAGGTGCCAAAAATGAGTGAACCATACTTTTGCAAGGGAACGTGGGAGTCCAAGTATAAAAAAAAAAAATATAATACAGGCTTGCTTAATTTACAATTCAAACCACCACCCTAATGGTTCAGTTAAAGGATTTTAGTAAATGAGTACTTCTATAGCTTTCAACAGCCTTTAGACAACACGTTCCAGACCCAAGAGATTTATAAACCTGTGAAACAGGTAACTTATGCCAACTGCTTATCATTACAGTACTACAGGTGTACTCCATAGGGCTGGTCCACCCAGCGGCATTCAGGAGGGTCAGAGCTACAAATGTTGCACATACAATCTCATGTCTGAGCTCTTATCAAAAGAATATTTAATAGTGTCAGAAAGCAAGGGGGGAAAAAAAAAATTCCCATGCACTCGTCTGCAGCACAAAGCAGTTTTTTTCTCAGTAAGGAAGCTGCCACAGCCAACACCACTAAAGTCCAAAATACGTTGCCACTTCTAGTGTTTTACAAAAACAATTATACCTTTCTGTAAAGTTCTTAAAAAATATATAAAAAAAAATTAAAGCTTTTGGTACTTATTGTTCTATTATCTTCTGAATATCTTAGTGTGCAATGTGAGGTCTAGATGGTAAGTGAGCTCTTATAAATTCTGTTAGCATCACAGAATATCCTTAACTAATGAAAATTCTCACTGAAGTAAGTGAAACTTCTCCTAGAGAGCATCAGAAAGTCAGCATGAGAATTTTTACTGGTGCAAGAAAATATTTGTATTAGTTATCTGACTTTAAAATAAAAAACAAAAGTCATATTTATATAAAAATCCATTTTTTATTAAACTCTGATCACAGAAGAGAAGAGCTCAGTATAAAATCTCTAACAAAGTGATTTTATAGTGCAGTAAACTCTCCATCTCTCACAGCCATAAGCTCTGTTTATGAGTGTACAATATACCTTTGTATCATAGAACACAAAACTGGAGTTTGTCCTTGTAGCCTGGTATTTGTTGAGCAGGAAGACAAAATTTAATAAAAGCTGTTCCTTTTTCTAGATTATTGTATCCAGAACACCCAGTTTTGTAGCGATGCGTTGAGACCGTTATATGCGAAATATTGTCACTACTCAATCGAATTGGACTGCGTGGCTGCTATTCAGCATTTCAGACCATAAGAGAAGTCACTTCAAATGCCCCAGTGACAAATCACAGCAATAAATTATTTCCTGAACACACATAGCAATCTCATATCAAAGAGCCACCCTAGCAGAGAAGAAAGACATGCACAATAGTTAAAGAGAGCGAAGGGGACAAAAAGGGGAAATTTTCAGTAAAGAACTAGCTACTACATAAAGCCTCATTTTCTAAATAAATCCTAAAGGTGTTTTGTAGGTTTGTTTTTTTTCCCCTTCTATTTAACTGAAGTATTTCCAGGACATTTGGTTTATATCAAGCAACTAAGAAGAGCTGAAAAGCATGCTAGACTCTCTATGAGTACTGAATCCAGAGCCATGTTTCCTTCAAATTCTGTACCTCAAGCTGTCAGCCGAAAGTGTTTGAAGACCCCCTGACAAGTTTGGTATTTGGAGAGTAGGCAGAACTGCAGAAAAACCTAACCTCCTCTTTGGCCCAAGGACTTCTCCTGCCCCAAGGACTTCTCCTGTTCTTTCTGCCAAATGTGTGGAAACCAGGTCACACCAAGTAAATCCCAGGTGAGAATCTGCTGTCCAGAAAAGAAAATTCATATTGGGCTGGGTAGACCCAGATTGCTGTTCCCCATGCCCAAGAGCATTTGAGGCGAGACCAGTGTACCGTGGACTTGACACCCTTGACTGTACAACACGGCAGAGTCCATTCTAACATTTTATGCACTTGCAACTACTACAAGGTCTTTCTATGAAGTACATCCCACTCTGGAGCAAGAAAGTATTAGTAAGTAAGCACCTGACCTACAGACATATTTAGAGAAGGAAATAAAGCAGTAATAGGAGCTCTGCAAAATAGGGTTTTAGCAGTTATATAGCAATTTGCATCTTCACAAAGCTTTGTGCTATTGCAAGAAGCTCCTCAGAAGACCTGAAGAAGATTATTAATCAGAAAATAGAGTACACATTTATTATTTGTGAGTCCTGCCAACGCAGGACTATGATGCTTGTCATTACTTCCAATACAAGCATTTGTAGCTAGATAAATAGCTCTCGTTATTGTAATTTAAGACAGAGCAATTTTTATGTACTTCATAATGTGCGTGCTTACAAATATACTACTTGTATACTGTTACAGCATCTATAAATAATAAATACACAGCTGTAACAGTTATAGAGTAGCCATTTAACTCCGGCAACGAGCAAGTACTCCATGTTCTCTAGCTTTTGGCCCAAGTTGTTTCTTGTATTTCTCATTTTCTCTCATAAACACACTCCAAAAGATACCAGAATAAAAGTGTTTTTTTTAATGAAAAAAATTAAGATGGTACCACTGCACAGTTCTCAACCTAAATACAAGTACAAACAACATTCATCTTTGAATCATTGCAAGAATCAAAGATTTCTTCTCATTTAGCAGACTAAAACCTATCTGATATTGATTTGACAGATAGCAGTGATGCCGTACAAGCTTGTATCAATTCTTACGTAGTGAATCAAAACACAAATAGCTTTTTCCCCTCAAAGCTGTACCGGCTGTATGGTGTTCTGGCAGGAACCGCGACACTGTTTCAATACTATCAGACCAGCATGTGCTAATCAGGCCCTGGACAACTGGCACCATGATGATCAAAACAGCCATAATCCTGACCATCGATAAATATCTTTGTAATTAAGTCAAATCCAATGTCCCTGACGCATCAGGCAATCAATAGAAAAGCGTGCGTGCGTTCATTAGGCTACCTAGACGTCTCAAGCATAAAAAGACACTGAAAGGCACTAGGCCACAGGAAGCACTGCTTTCAAGATTGTCTTTGAGTACATATTTCTTTTGCATCTAAGACTATAGCTGGCATTCACCCACTCTCTTGTGGTGCTCCAGTGCTTTGAACTGAGCAAGCAAACAGGTAATAAAACCTTTCCCCCAACCCTAATTTCCTCAATGTTAAGAATGGGATACAATAAAGAAATCTGAACATGAACAACCAAGGATCCAGTCTATTCAATCCAATCATCTGATGAATCTAACTTGATCACATGTGCTTATATTTAATTGCTGGTCAGGAATAAGTATTAAGGAAATATAATAAGGACAGACTGCCTCTCACCAGCATATGTCAATCACCTAAGGGACCATTCTTTCTCTGAACACTTAGTGGATTTTCTGATTCCAGGGAGGGGGTAAGCAATGGGTTGGAGCAGCAGCTATGAATTATGAAGGAGATAACTGACCACACCATATTCTGCTACGACGGCAGACTTCACTCTCTATTGCCTGACATCCAGAGTAGCTATTTGCACTTAGGTGCTAGGAGTGCAGCATGGGTGCCACTCGGTATTACAAGGTTGGTTACAGAGATCACACTTGGTGGTCTCACTATGAGGGAACTTATAGTACATAGCAACATGCAAATGTGAATTACACCTACTGCCCAAAGTGCTCCAGATTCTCTGGATGAGAGATACCACATTAACACAATGCAAGGTTCAGCAAAAGCTAAACCACATGGCTAATTGTATTCCTAACTTAATACTTCCCATGTGGAGCCTTGAGTACAGTGTGGAGTCTCTTACCACCACCTTCTCAAACCAGAAGAATTATTGAGGTTTCTCAGCTAGAACCATTATACTTGGTCATTACCTCCATTTTTCACTTTGCTGATCCTTCCCTTCCTCTCCTGCATATCCAAGGCATAAGCCATACTGGGAGAGAAGCAAAGGCCAACTCCATCTGACACTTTCGGTTTATCCCAGCATTAGGATGGCATTTGCTGTACAGCCAGAATACATTCCAGGAGACTTGATTTTCGTGTAAGTAGACATTCTATTTTCACTCAGTTCCCTAAGGGTGACTTCAAGCCACTAGACTACCATTTCGGGGTAATATCCAAAATTAGAAACTCCCATAACCTTAAAATGCCAAGAATTCTTTTTTTCTCAAACTTTTGGGCTACATAACTGATTACATCAACACAACCTGTGTGACACTGTAAAATTAGCAAGGATCTGGAAGCAGGATGGGACACATTCTGTGGAATGTATAAAACCAAACTCAAACAGCATGAAAAAAGTAATGTTTATTTTTATTGTTTACAAAAGCATGAACACCTTATGCAAAAGCAGCATCCTGAACCACACATTACCCTCATCCTCCTGGGATATTGGCAGAAAACAAGTACTTTCTCTGTTCTTTAGGGTTAAACGTACTCCGCTGAGCTAAATGGAACCCACCCCACCGATATTCATGGAGCTCTGACTGCTTACGTTAGCAAAGAGGCCGACTCATCCGACTGCGATGCAATGAGATGTCATATGGGTGACGTGCTTTAGGTGCCAAACTGGATTAGTCTGCGTCTAACCAAGATAAATACACTATCCAGATAATGAAGAAGCTCCCCATTCTCTTCAATTTTAACTGAAACAGATCTAATTTTAAATATGTGTTTAAACATTATGACTCTTGTCCCACACTAACTTCATGCAAGGTTATGCACCATGAACAATTTTACTCAAGTTTTGAAGAGACAGCAAGTGTGCTCATAAGCTATTTTAAGAGTGAAACCTTTCAGCACAATAGCTATTTACTCCTTTCTTACCTGCCTCCCCAGCACATGGAGCTCAAGTGCTTACTCTGAAGAAATGTACCCTAAGGTTAACCTGAAAAAAAATGTGCAGCATATTTATTTTGCCTTCATCTTTTTCTCCTGATCTGGAGCTGGAAGTAGTTAATGGTCATACAAACAGGCAATGCTTTTGAACCTACAGAGAAACTTTTTTTTTTTTTTTTAAAGTGTCTTGTTAAACAGAGAATTTGATTGCAATAACTTCAAAGACTTACCTGGAGCAAGTTACTTATTGTTTCCTAAAATGATCCCTATTATAAAACAGCGTAATTCCTCAGCTCCTCTGAGTTGAGGTCCCTCCCCTCAGAATCTACAACTGATGCCGCAAAATATTTATTACACTGGGAGAAATGGCTCTTGCTTGCCTGCCATCCTATCTCTAAAATGACTGACAAATACTATTTATGTCTGCAAGACTGATACTGGATCTATGGATCAATGAAAACTGCTTCATTTTACTGCCCAAGCTGCAAGAACTGTTCTATTAGCTCCTGCCAACTTCACATTAAAGAAATACAATTTACTTCACATATTGAAAGAACCTGCTAAGAACCCATATACAATGTATGTGTACACATATACACACACACATATAGGTATTTTGTATTTATTTTACATCAACAAAGTGCTAAAAGAATCCAACAATGTCACTGCTAGAGATGAGGCTAAATGAAATGGTATCGCTTATATGGCATCAAATAATTATGAGACTCTGGTCCAAGAACTTCAGAACTGTTAGCAAAAAAGTGTCTTTCACTGACAAAAAAAAAAAAAGTTCCAAATGGCTTGAATTTCACTTTTAATAAATTGGAAGCATTTAGAAAAAAAGTATTTGAAAAAATACCATGCAAAGTAGATTTTATAATTTAAAGTTCAGTTCTGTGTATAGCAAACATACACATTTATACCTATATTCTATTACTTTTATGGCAAAATTCTGAGGTGTCTTGACTTGATTACTTTAATGAATCTGCAGTATCTCACATGCATATCAATGCCTCAAATTCTGAAAAAGAAAAAGCTATATAAGTTCAGCCCTGTGTTCTGTGAGTCTGGCTGCATAGTCAGAAACAGAAGTATTGCACTCAAGACCATGCCTACAAAAATGTACATTTAATAAGGCCATTATATTCAAGATCATAATGGGACTCAAGTCACACAATCAAATATATCATAGACCTAGCAAAGCCATATTGCAGATGATTGACTCAAAACAGCAGTGTATCAGCAATTCAGTAACTGACTTTTTTTTTTTTTTTCATTAAATGCCAATCTCTTGAACTGGTTTTACCCACAGGGCTAGACAACCTGAGGTGTATGTATGCAAGCATTCTCACAATGCATTGTTTAATTTTTTTTCTTCAAAGTTACCAAATGCCCCAGAGTTTGAGGGTAGGTTTCTACTCAAGTTCTGCCAATAAGGTTCAATCTGTTACCAACTTTAAGCAATTTCCATGATGGAGGGGAGAGAAGATTTGACTTTCAGTTATTTAAATATTTGCCAACATGCAAGACATAATTCTTACTTTACAAAGTGTAGCAAAACCATAATTGAACATGTACTGGAATATTTCTCAGCCTGCTCTTTCAGAGCCAGATCACATTAAGAGTATGTTTATCTGATCTGGCTTACTGAAAGACAGAGTAAATGATCAATTTAACACAATACAAAGAATGATACAGATTTACAAGTTAGCTGCCCACATCCCATGGCAAATAGAAAGAAGCTACCCTTTAATCAAAGGGGTAAGCTACCTTGAATTTACAGTAGGTTAAGTGTATTCACACCAGCCATTACCCTGGAGTAGGTGTCCTGTAAATCTGCTAGCTTGCTTTGTAGTTATTTGCTCCTTTATCCATTTCAAAGTTACCCAGTGAGCCAGCATTTTGGCTTGGTTAACAGTAGTGGCATTTGTCCAAGAAGGAAGGGTAGACCACTATCCTTCTTCCCCATGCCACACTATGTTAAATACACAGAGCTATGCAAATGCAAAAAGCATCAGTACAAAGGCTGGAAGAATCACAAGACACAGCAGATAGGAAACTTAATGTTCACATGCAATACAGTTCAGCAGAGAAATTCTTTCACAATCCTATATTCTGTCATAAAATCCACGGTGGTGGAGATTATGGATGACCTACCTTCCAGCTGAATCAACTCCAGCATTAGGAATTATTTCTGAATACAACAGACTAATCCAACTCTTTTTTTGTTCTAGGACTTGTTGTTTGGGTTTAGACACTTTTTAGTATAGAGACGAGAAAAACCTGAGACACAGACAACGTGACCTGTTTGTGTATCATAAACAGACAAATGGATAATCAAGCTGCAAAAAAATATGTGTCACACACTTTACACCTACAGCTCCATGTACTTTTTTGCTGCAGCAATGGTGTCACTAGCCGATTGCTAGTTTGTCACTAACTGTGAAAATGTTTTTGACCAGAGCTGTGAGGAATGCATTTAGACGGCAACAAGACAGCCCTTGGAGTAATGAACAAGAAACATGTGAGTTCAGGAGATGGTTTCTGATTCCACCCCTCTCTTCTAGTCACTGCATCCTGAGCAGCTCAAAACATCTCTCTTCGTAATCACATTATTTGGAAGGAGATTAACTCTTTCCGTATTTTCTTCACAAAAGGAGCAGTAAGAAGTCCATTAATGTACCACATAAGATGGAAAGCCATCTAAAAGGCTTCTACTTATTTTAGCAGTTTTGACTAAAAAATAATTAGCAGAATCACTTTGTCAATTAGGTTGAAAAGATCTGAGAATATTTTGGAAATAGAGTTTCAGAAGCCCATCTCTGACATTCACATTAAAATGGTGGCCTGACTACTAGCAATACATTGTCTGCAAGTGTCTAAACAGAGTTTTGATGGGTATCAAGCAGTAGCAGCATCTTCAACATGTTATGTTTGCTGTATTTAGTACTTTTTAATTGAATTCTCTCTCCCTATAAAGCGACTTCTAGTACTTAGCATGACTACTCATACACACAGCATTTCTAAATGGAATTACATATTGTTGCTTTCTCTCCACCATAATATTATCTTACCATTTTCAGTATCAGCACCACAGGTTTAATGTAGGTCATGGACAACAAGCAGCAGGCCTACTTTTACCGCTTGCTTCAAACAATGTATTGTTTCATATTCATACATTCTTAAAACGTTTTCTTCACTTAGCTATACTAAGTACCAGTCTAAAATTTAAGTTTACATTGAAAAAAGTTATCAATGACTTGACCAAAACCCACCAAAAATCCCTTTTACTGCCACAGGAAACCATTTTCTCCTGAATTAGTGTTAATGGATATTTATATTAGAGGACTCCATATTTCAGAAACCAGTTATTTAATGCTCAATATTCTTTTCAGCAGATGAAGAGGTAGGTATATTGCCACACAAGAAAAAAAAACAAAACAAACAAACCTGTAACAGACACTCAATTAAATCAAATAATGTCTGAAAAGTCAAACACTGTTCTGACAGCACATAAACATGATGTATCTGAAGACACTCTCCAATGAGGACAAGAAAAGTTGCGCATTCTGATTAGATAATACATCATAATTTGAAATTTAATAATTTTCTGGAAAGAAAACACAAGTGTCCAAATGCTACTTCCTTCCCACCTCCCTCCCCCAAAGAAATGTGGGTGCCAACAAAACTGCCTGTATCAATGGTAGTATTAACTTCTGGACTGCTAAATATGGAATCAACTGCCATTCTTCCTTACATTCACCAACACCAGCAGTCTACAAGTTTACACAGAGACCATATGCATGATAATTACATAATTACAATAGAAATTCAACTTTAGTGTTGTTCTTAAAACAATCTTCATAAATAACGAAAATATCTGTGTTCTAGCTCTTCAGTAACCTAAGGTTAATTGGTACAGATAGTGGTTTTTTCTTCCTTTTATAAACCAAACTGGAGGTTCCTCACTGCCAACAATGGTTAAGGCCTGGATCAAGTTATTCTCCTTTTGCTTTTCCCTTTTTCTGCTTTTTTCCATTTTCCACCACTGCATTATTTTCTTGTTTGCTTAATCCATTTGCAACAGCACCATTTGCTATTTTGCCATTCTTCATGGGTTCCTTGGGCAGCTTATATGTCCGATAATAAAAGTTACCAAACAGGAAAATGAAGGTGACAGCATAGAAAATTACACCCCAGTGCATCCATTTAGGGAAAGGACAATCAATATAAATAGACAAGGCTGTGTGGCCAATAGTCACATGGAACTGCACCTGAAAGACAAAAAATACAGAATCAAAAAGGTCTGGATATATTCTGTAGGTCTGACTGCACCAGTGTATATCAGTGCATAAAGTTATGAAAACTGCTAAACTGGGAGGGGGTTAGGAAGCCGTATTTGGCTGCTACATCACACATATGCATGACCAGGGACATCAAATTTATTGCAATACCTGGCACCAGCTTTCAGAAATAGCAAAAAGAGAAGACATTAAGAGATCTGGATTTTCTCTATGTTTTGAGCAGGTTTCTGCAATTCAGTTGCAACCAACCAACCAGTAAAGTAGTATTAGACTTTACTCACACAACTCCTATCTATGCTGTGTGGTTCTGGGAAATGAAATAAATACTTCCATCTCCAGGAAGTGTTCTAGCTTGAGCTGTGAGTATCAGGCAGCTAAGAACTTTTGGAAGGAGCAGCATCTGTTCCAATACTCTGCAAATGCAAATCTACTCAGAGACAATACCTTCTGACATAAAGGGAGAAATTTTACTTACCAATTGTAATATGGTCAAGTATCGTTTCCACCACAGGTATTTCTGAAATTTAGGGCCACAGGCAGCTAATCCATAATACATGTACATTATGACATGAATAAATGCATTCATCTGAGCTCCAAAAAAAGCTGTCCAGGAACAGAAGGGAAAATTGCCATGTAATTAAAAAAAAAAAAAACAACAAAAAAACAAACAAAAAAAACCCAACAAAAAGAGAGAAGTCTTTTCTAAGATTATTCATGTGATAGTAAAAATTATAAAGCATAGGACATGCTGGGATTCCATCCATTAAATGTTCAGTAGTATAGCATAGACCTGACTGCTAACATGTGCTGACACAAATAGCTGTTCACACAAGTAGTATGTCACATCTTTCATGGAAAAGCTTATGCAAAAGCTTTTCATAAAATCTTTGTTGAACAGACATAAATCACATGGATTACACATTAGTTATTGTAGCATAACTGCAATTGTTTTGCTAAAGGATTATTAAAAGCTATATTTAACAATGTAAAGTATAAACTATTAGGTTCTGAGCTTAAATCTTCTAAACTGTATTTGAACACACAAGGTCCCCTTCTCAGCAAGAAGTCAAGAAACTCATGTGGAAGTCTGATTAAATAGGCCAAAAAGAAAAGATACAAAGCAAAATTTCACTTATGGTTATGTTTAAATTGCTCATCTTTGGTTTACTTGTGCCTTAAAATATTCAGCATTCTTAAATATATAAACCTAGAGTATAACTTTTGCCAGAATAATCCATGCTGGACATGAAGACAACAGTTCTTATTTGCATGAAAATCCCTTTGCTTTGTCAAGATTAGGAGCCATTTAACAGAAACAAATTATACCTTGTTAAGGTACTCTTACAGTGCCAGAAAGGCTCAAAAAAGCTCTAATGTATAAGATTAGGCCAATACAGGCAATAGCTGCTGACATCAAACAGCTCAGATGTCCATGTGGTCTAGACCCAGTTAGTTATAATAGGGTCTAGCTTATAATAGATCTGTCCATGTAAGCAATGTGCTATCAACTAGAAAACAGAAGAACATAGATCTAGTCACGTTTATGCAGTAGTGCTACATAAATGAAGAAGACCAACTGTTGCTTCTCCTTTTGCAGGGGCTAGAAACTAAAAGACAGTGCAGGAACACCAAAACTTGAAATAAATTTGGAAATAGTTGCAACTGTTATATTGAAAATTGCTGATACTTAGCATGAAAAGACTGAAAAGGCAACAAGGAAGAGAGCATTTTGTGATATCCAGGGGATTTCTAAGACAACAAGTATGCATTCAGTCTCCAATAAATGTATTTTATGGGTGCAGTAGCCAATAAAGATCATTAAATGTCTGGCTGAGTATCTGCATCCTGCAGATTACTTGGGAGAAATTCAAGGATAGTCACAGATACTCATTTTACAAGATATCTATAGTAAATGAGAGCATAAACCCCCCATGCATTAAGTATTAGTGTGGTTTGACAAAAAAAAACCCAACAAAATATTAGTTTGGTGTGCTGTTTTCTATATGTTATTTTCAGTGTCTTAAGCCTACTAAGTGCATTACAAACAAAACAGGGTACTTTCCCTGAACTCTCAGTTCTGTAGAGCTTCTAATTTGCAAGAGACAAGACAAAACAACAGGTACAGACATACAATGAATGCAAGGGAGGATGTAGCAAGTACAATGAAATAAAATTCTTTGACAGGGGCTTTAGCAAGAAAAAAAAAAAAAAGGCTGATAATGAATTATAGACGTGTCATTACAAACAGGTTTCAAAAGTTAATTGACAGATTTACTGGCTCAGCTTCAAGGGAAGGTTTCAGAATTTTATACATGCTTTTTTATAAAAAAAAAAAAAGCAAACCCCAAACTCAGATACAATGCCAAAATAATGTCTCCATTAACTTTATTACATTTGTACACAGATTGTGGCCTGTAATTAGATTTTGCAGTTCTCTGTATCTGCAAAAATTAAAGTTAGGCAAGGCACGTTCATCTTTCTATTTCATATAGAACATGGATAATTTTGAAGACAGAACTTCAGGCCCGCAATTGATGTCCATGAGGAAAAAAAACAGTTTTGCAATTCATTAGATTACTGCCCTGTTATCTTTTCCTCCCCCACATTTCCCACAGAGGGAAAACTGTACACATTAAAGATACCGCGCTGCTTCAGTGCTATTTAAACAGTCTTGTATATTATGTGTTAAGATTATGAAATTTTTCTCCCCCGTCTCTCCCAAACAATAACAACTCTCTCTTGTGTCCAGTCAAAAGGGTATGGGAGGAAGGTAACTCACCTTGTCCACCTGCAACCCACTTAATACCAATCCACCACAAGGTGAACATGGTGAAATGGTGATAGACATGAAGGAAACTAATTTGGTTAAATTTCTTCCTCAGGATGAAGAATACTGTATCCAAATATTCAATTCCTTTAGAGACATAATACCACCATAAAGCAGCAGCTATCTGCAATGAAAAAAGACAACACAGAAGTTTCAGTGATTCCAAGCTGAATGGAATAAAGTTTTCTCTACCTATCTATTGCAAGAGAAGGATACATCTTCCTTCCCCAAATCCTGGTAAATGTTGAGGTGGAGTCATCAAACACCTAATGGTATGAGAACAAAAACTATACTCCATTCATCTATTCTGGACATGGAAGTATTATTCTGAGTCTACTGCTCACAAATCACAACTGTAAAAAGAACTAACATAATTAAAAGCTTTGTCATCTCTTTTACCAGTTCATGAGTTAAACATAAGGCGTTTGCGTCCTCATTCTCTATCCTAAGCTTTGCGGGAGAAGACTACCACAGGGCTTCCCATGCTAATGAGGCAATGGCACTGTGATATGGTCAGACCAACACGGCAGAAACATGATGATAAAATGAAGTTGCAAAAGTTGAAACCTTATACACAATTCTTTCAGTACCACAAGTATATGGGTGGGATGATACCAAATCACTCTTACAAGCTAGGTGCAGCACTGATTTCACGTCCCTTAGAGCAATATTCTCCTCAGCTTCTCTGGTCTGCTCAGTAAATCCCTCTGGAAAGCATCATTCTCCAAGTGGCTCTGTGCCATTCAGGGAATAGATGAAATGAGACCACGGGAGCCACACAAGCTGCAGAGATATAACCCATCTCCCCAACGTGCAGTGCTACACACCCAGAATTCCTCTTTTAATCCATGAATCACAGGGAATCTTGCCCAAGATGCAACATAAACATGGCTTCCTGCTAAAATCAGGATAGTGTTGTACCAGGTAAAGCCCAGAAGCTCTGCATAGCAATTTGCAAATACTATGATATGGGGGTATGGTGGTGGTGGGGACACCCTTCCAAGTCCCAAAGCATAGCAACAAGTCTAGTTCCTGGCATTGTAAGTCATCTAGCTTGTTATGCAAGGGTGGGACCAGAACATATCCCAGATGGTGACTCACAGAGAATGTAAAAAAAAAAAAAAAAAAAAAAAAATTTGGAAATGGCATCACCAGCAAGGAGAGGAGGCAATGTCACAACACACCTATTTGTAAGAAGTTCACCTGGTCTTTCAGGACTCATCTGACAGCAAATTACCTTACCTTAACATGGTGTGAAATAACCCCACCACCCCAAGTCCCCAGGGGAGACAGAAGGGAAAAAGTTAAGACAGCAATAGCTTCCCTCACCAAATACACACATACCACTAGGCAAGAGAGAAAGGAGAATCAGAATGAGCAGTACAGAGTTACGCTACAGCCTCACATTTTTTCCTCCATCTCTCCAAACTATCAGGAAAGGAATGCATCTCTCCTCAGAGTAAGTTTGTCACAGCCATAATTGGACTGCTGAGCATTTCAGGAGAGATTACAGCAGAAGCCAAAAAGCAGCACAGGAACAGAAATGTGCTGCAGATCTGCATTGCAGACTCTGCAGTTTCCCAAAGGGACTGCACAGCTTTCTGTTGCCAAACTGCAGGCTTCTATGTATCCACTAATGAATACCCTTCTCATTCTCTGGACATGATTTAGCCTGCTCAGGTCTCAGGAAAAGGAGGCAGATTTTGTTGTTTTTTTGGTGTTTTTTTTGTTTGTTTGTTTTTTTTTTTTTATATATAAAAAGATTATAATATCTGTCAAAATTGGAGAAAGGCTTAATGAGAGAAAAATGACTCCCACAGATCTTGGAGTTCCCAAACACACAGGCAAGCTGCAAGGACTATATATAAATAAATAAATAAATAAATATATATATATATATATATATATCTATATATATATATATCTATATCTATCTCAATATCCAGTGCAGTTCTGCCTCTGGGACAGGTAGGCAGTTGTTTAATGACACCCACATCAAGGCTTTGTCTCACATCCATGGATTAGCATAACAGTCCAGCATCTTTTATAGATCTTTGCTAAAGCTGCATCTCCTAAATAAAGATAAGCATCTTTTAATCTCATGAGTTACAATAAACACTTATAAAATGACAAGCCAGCACAATACTCAAGCTCTTTGGAGGTCCTTCCTTCCGAGAAACTTTTAAAGAATCAATAGGTCAGTCACAAGCAAACTGCCATAAAATCTTTTATAAAGCCAATGTGCATTTTGTTAAAGAAACAGTGGAACAGTAAGCCAAATAGCCAAGAAGGAAATAGTCAATTTACTGTATGACACAGAGCAAAATTTAAGTGAAGAAAAATCAAAAAAAACCCCCTTATGTTTTATGCTCAAGATGCCACACGTTCACCATACGCTCCTAGACAAGCCATTTAACATACCTCATTTTTCTTCTTTTGAATTCCACCTGTCTTTCACAGAAAGCAATTACAGCCCATGTATCAAAATCAGCTGAACTTTTGATCAAAATGCTTCCCATCACTTAAGAACAAAAATAGCCTCCATTTCTTTGCAGGATTACGCTTGCTTGTTTTTGTGTTCCTGTAGATTTTTTTGCCTGACAGCTCTTTTGGCCTCTTCATATCATAAAATTCTACTGCCATTTATTCTCAAACCTGATAGGTTTCATGTACTGATGATCTGTTTCAGTGCTCCCAATGACTTATGCAGATGTTTTGATCATTAGCTTATAGATGTAGAAAGAAGTAGAAAATACACAGATATGTAAGCTATGTCTCAGATATCTATGACTACTATTAAACTTCCACAAAGCAGCAGAAGTTAAGACATAACCTGTAGCCTTTCTTTGGACACAGCATGAAAGGAAGATTGAGCTTAGAAGAAAATATGCATTAAAAAGGCATACTCCTGAAATGAGTAATACTAGTCACAACCATACCTTTTCTGGCAATTTTCATATGCACCAAACTAAGTCTGTTAAAACAGCAGATGGCACAGAAAGATTACATTACAGCCTAGGATTAAAGGGGTCAACAAGAGGTCCAATCCTATCACCTCTGCCTCCAGCAAGGCTTTTGAATAGAGGGCTGTTTTAACATGGGACTCCATTCCTGCACCCTCCTCCCTCATGTCAGGTTGGGGACAGTTATCTATTAAGGGGTTTGAAGGGACAAGTACTTCTTAGAAGGTAACAGTAACATGAAAAATTAAAGTGGCTTTTAAAGAGAATTCTTTTCCCAGCTTCAGTTACAGAACCATAGTTTACAGGACCATGAAGTCTGTTTGTTACATTAAACTTCTGTGAAAAGGGAATTCGGAGTAAATTATTATTATATTTATTTCATAATAGGAAGCTACTCAAGCTCCAGACATAAATGCAAACAACACAGATTATGATTACAATACAGAAGACAGCCAAAGCTCAGCTTTATGATTACAAATAGCACACTTAAAACTAAGAACTAATTTACACAGCTCCAGATTCCTAATTCTCAGATCTTCAGAAATGCTAATAAAATAGATGAACCTTGACCTGAAAAATAAGGACAAACAAATGTAAGCAGAGGGGGAAGGTGACTACTCACAGACACTAACATGTCTTAAGTTAGACAGCGTTAGGAAATTGTTCACTCCAAATACTGGAGCTTCCAAAGGAGTACTACAAAGCATGGAGTTAACACCTCAGACCTTTGCATTTACTATTTTGACTCCTAAGCTATAACAAAAAATGTTCTTCCAAGGAAGCTGCAGCTCCTTCAAAATCCTTTCTTGGGGATTTCTTTAACCTTTTCTTTCTTGTCTACTATAAACACATTTTATATTTTTATATAACCAATTACAAAACACACTCAACTTCCTGCCAGCAGTCAGTAAGGTGGCCACCTACTACACACAGAAATCCTTTAGAAACGAGTTTATTTCTGCAATTGTGGAATCTAATTTCCATCCCTGCTTGGTCCAGTCATCCATTGCCTCTTGTAGAACAACCACCAGGGCTGACTGGATGAGATTAACAGGTGTGGGTAGGTTTGAAACAGTAAGGAGGAAGACAAGCTTCTTCATACTATGTATAAACTACCTACAGAATTAATTGTCATAAAAGCCAGAAGCTTGGTAAAGCTGAAGAAAACATACAAATTCATGGAAGAATATTCCCTTAGAAACTGGCAAAACAAAGAGGCTAGGCCTCACTTAAGAGGTCTGTGAGCTACAGACTGCTAGTGTTGTGAGACTATACAGAAGTGCTACCACATGCCTTTACACTGTTCCCTTGAAATCACCATTGGCTTACTGTCTTGACACACGATGTGAGCCAGAGAGGAGAGGAAAGTTATTCTCTAGCACCCAGGATAGCCACACCTTTTTTGGGGACTGTTTACCAGCAATATGTACTCCCTCAAGGACAAAGGATGGTTTCTTGACCCCTCATTTGGAGCAAGAGCTTTGGTCAAAAGCAGCCACTTACATGGCAACATCATAGTGGCACGTTCCCAACAAGATAGAAACAGAGGTCATACCAGTGCTTCTATGTTGCCGTTTAGACAATCATCTGCAATTAGCGTCACATTTCTCAATATTTGTTCCAGCTTTCTAAGCCCCACAATAGCCATATATGAAATTGTTGCTTTCCAGAGCATGTTCCATAATGCTTTCTGGGCTCAGTGCTGTTTCCATTTGAGTTAGTCCCAGTCTCCTTTAGCTGACTTATACAGGACTGACTTACTCATTCTCTTACAAGTAAAGTTAGTGCATTTGTGATTAATTCTATTACTGTAGTGCAGCATTCCTCTTCAGAGAAAACCCAGTGCCAACAGATATTGGATATTTAGTATCTAGATCTATTAAAAGGGTGTGAGAGATGTGCTATAAGGTTTATCAATTCTAAACTCAAAATTGCAAAGAAGCTCACATTTACTTACATTTTAAAACTGCTTTTGCAGGTTTATACTAGGAAAGATGACGGTGAAAGGCATCTTCATGAGGTTTGGGGTTATTTTTGTCCTGCAATGTCAAAAACCAAAACTATACCTTCTAAAAGCAGAGGATGATCCACTGTAAGGCAGGCCAGAAACGTATCCCAGACTCTTTAGTTAGACAAAGTACACTTATGGACAGCAGAGTTTTCTGCTTTTGACTTATTTACCTAAATTGAGAATTCATTCAAAAGAACTACTGGATAATGATCAAGATAAGGATCTTGACTGGTAACATAATATACAGGTGTTGCAACAACTAGAGAGAAGTTTTTCAGTCTTCTCAGCTTCATCAACTCTCTCCGTTGCAAACTGAATGTTACAACTTAAAACTTTAGAATTTAGGCAAATTCATAACTTTGCAAAAAAAAAAAACAAAAAACCAAAAATCAGGAAACCCAAAGAGTAGATATTGCTAGAGTAGCCTTTCTTTTCTGGACATATTATTTAATAAATACATTGTGCACATGATTTTGCCTTTATTTCATTTCATTTGGCATAATGAACTAAACAGAAGATAATTCTTTTAAGCAGGTCTGATCCCTCCATAGCTTCCCACAAACACGTGCACCTAAAAGTGAGGCTATGAAACAGAATTTTTGTGTACTAAAAGTCATTACCTCTTGTACTTAGCTAATATAAAAATTCCTTCAATATATGCCATATCAGTCCTCAATGTCATCCAGCTGAGTACAAGGGTACCCTATTTTGCTTAGCTATCAGAAAAAATCCTGTCAAGCATTTGTTATACTTGTCTGGATTTTGTTTTTAAACAAATTTTTTAACAGAAGTATTTCAGCAACTGAAATAGCGAGTGCACAGTACTGTCAAAGGTGAAAGATGGGTAACTGCCATAAAGCCAATAAAAATCTACACAGAGCTGTTCTACAATATTAGCGATTATACATAAGGTATAAGAATCAGAACTGTCCTTCTCACTACCACCCCTGCCATGTGCACAAGATTGTAAGTAATACTACCCACGAACAGCCATCTTGTAGACAGACATTTTTTAAAATGTGTTATTAAATATTAAATGTATTTATATTATAACACTCTTTCATTACATTTTCAGGAACATGTTCTAATCTGTAGGCGAAACTTGCAAGAACAGCCAAGAGATTCTCAAGTGTCAGCTTTGCCAGAAGATAAGACTTAGCACATGAGCTAATCAACACTGTTATGGAAACTAACAAGCATCTGCACTTTGATTTTAATTTGAATACTTTCCAAAAACCACATATTTGAAATGTAAGTTTCTACAATGAAATGTACCAATAGTACATTTGCCAGAAGCCAGCAAGACCTCATGAAGCCAAACATGGGTAAAGGAGACAAAAAGCTGCCTCACCAGTATGAGTGAAGTGCAACCACAGTATATGCTGACAAATATTACTTGCTTTGATCTAGCTAGAACACTACACCTTTACTGTGGTTATCCTGGTATCATAAACTTCAGCAATGTCTAGAAACCAAAGTATGTATACAAAGTTTATCCTGGATCATACAACCACAAATGAAGCCAAGGATGGTATCTTTAAGACTACCTGTAATTGTAGCAGTCAGATGGAAGTTAATGCAAATACACTGATACACTTTGATTAAACTTGCTAAGTGCAACGTAGTCAAACCTGAAGTAGTCTGTGAGAACATAACGGATACAGTCATGGCTGACAGCAGAACTTTGGAAACACTATTTTCAGATAAGACTTAAACCATCATGTAGTGCTATATATTACACGCATTCATATACAAATACAAAAAAGAAATACTCACCCTAACTTCATAAACATTATCTGAATAATCCACAGTCTGGCAGACATAGCTGTACCCTCGAGCTCTTGATGACAAAAACAGCTGAAAATATTAAAGTCATACATGAGGGGAAAGATGATACATAAAACATGTTCATAACAACTATCAGCAAATCTCTTGCTACATGAAACTTACCTGAACAGAAATATTTTTTAAAATCCTTATCAGTCCTGAGAATACTACTGAAGAAAGCCAGTATTTAATTCTAACAACCTTTTTTCCCTTGTAAATTAAAAAAATAGTCATTTTCCCCTGCATGTTTCATCCCAGACACTTAGAGCCCTGTACACATTAGTAAGAATTCCAGTATGACTTTAAGCTATTCAAAGATGAGTGTTCCCTCTGACAGCTCTAGCTTCAGAAACAAAAAATAACTAATTGCTTCTACTATGAATGACAGAAACGCTATTCCTACAATGAATTTGAGAGACGGGGCTTAGATAAAGTGGGTCTACTATTCTTAAAACAGTATACCAATCAAAAAATCCAGAACAGCCAATGCTGAGCACCCATAAAACATATTGAGAGAAACAGAATGAAGAAAAGTTCCCCATTTTGTGCCAACAGAAATGGCCAAAAGTACATGAAGTGTTCCTGTAGGGCCAATTCAAAATAAGGCACATTACAATAACTTGAACAGAAGATAAACTTGACATTTGAGCAAGTTCCCATTGGAAAGAAGAACACTTGCCTAGAGCTGTACATGGTTCAAGTAATACTTCTAACCTTGACATTCATAAATGTTATGATCCAAAATTGTTTAAAAACAGGTAATCCCACCCTGTTAAGCATCAAACAAGACAGTAGTGGAGCAGACATAAATTGTGAGCTCAAAAGTAAAGAAGGGTAATACAAAAAGATAGCCAAAATAAACATGGGTAGGCACTGACTATTCTTACCGCTAACCTGACTTCCACCTTATTTAGAGTCAACTCGAATTTACTGCAGTATCTCATCTTGCACACAGCACTAGGAGTGCAGTCAGATGCAGAGACAAGTGTTATCCAGATAAAACCAACTCACAAAACCTTGTAAAACTCTAGACTTACATGCTGCACGTGTCTGTTAAAGTAGGGAAGTGAAAGAACCGTACACAGAAATGATCCTAAGAAAGAAATCGAACTACTTCTGCATCATTCAAGTCCATTTACAAACTGCTGTAACACCACTACTCTCCAGCATGGTCCTACACAGGTACAAGCACATTTGATAATATCAAAGAGCAGGAAACAGTTTAGTCTGCACTATTAACAGAAACTAACTGCTACTGTGACCTAATGGGTAATTTGACCAAGGTTCACTTGGCAAAAGGCAGTAAATTGACTTCATCAGACTACCTCAAAGTAGAATAAGAAATTCAAGATTTTGTGGCAAAATAGGGGCTAGGCATCTGGGAATTCTGAATGTTCTAAGCAAAATTTGCTCCTAATTTGTACCTGAATCTGAGTCCAACATATGGCAGTCTTGGACTAGACAACCTAGCACTGCTTTATGGACTTATATTTTTTTAACATAAGTATCACAGATGAACAATACAGCTTGCCATCAGGGTGATTATTAAAGTAACATTTAAAGGCATTTCATATTCAAATTCTGTCCTCAGCAATACCTGGAAGCTTTATAGTCATTCACAAAACACAAACTGTGTATCATTTTACTCATAACAATTACATTACTCATGTGAATTACAACAGTGGCACACTAGTACTGTAAACCCCACGTAGACTGAAGCAGAAGTTGCCTGGTTAAAGGGAGCAAATGAAACTTGAACACCTTCCCCCTATCAGTCTCTAAGATCAAGAAAAGACACATAGCAGGAAACTAGAACCTCAGCCTGTGTCTGAAATGATAAGCTTTCAGCCTACCAGCAGCAAATGCATCCTTTCAGTCCCATTCGTTTTTATGTTGATTCAGTGATTTGGAAATGCCATACAAACACATATGTTATAGTATAAGGAACACAGGCTTGAAAATTAATTGACCACAAGTCTGGTATAATTCAGTTTATAGACAAAAGAAACCAATTTAAAAGAATAAGGAAAAAAAAAACCAAACAACCAGACATGGCAAAACCACCGCAGAATTCATTTCAGAGGATTTTCAGTTTTAATCTGTCAAGATGATTGAATTTCATCCATTCACACAACTATCCTTGGATGTCAAGTACTAAATTCTGTTGTACCTGTAGTATTTTATTACTCAGTTGAATAGTGCAAGGAAACAATTTAGACAAAATGATGACAGAAGTGCGATGGCTAAAATTTTACCATGTCTTAAAAAATGATTTTATTACAATGCTCTGGGGAGGGGTCAATATGCAGATCATCATCAGCTATGCCATGCTTTCCTGGAAAAATTACAGAACAGACCAGCCAGAAAAAGAATCCTGCAAAATTGCAATGTTGCAATTTTAACTGCTCTGTTCATTTACTTCTTTCTGGATATGTATTTTGCAAATTTATGATTCAAGGTCTTCCAGGAAGAAGACTCTCAATCCAGATGAGCAAAATCACAGCAGCATAAAGTACTCCTTAACATCAGCTATATTCTGGACAGCTATCCTTGAATAATGATTAGCAAACTGTTAAGTAATCCCACTTAGCTACTGATAAAGAGCTGATCCACTGCATTGTTACTAGTCATTTCCTCTGTACAGAAAATCTAACAAAGGAGAAATGCAGCAACACTGAAATTTATTTAAATTAACATTTTCAGAACATTGCAAACAAAGTATTAGGAGACTGTATCATTTTTATTTAAAGATACAGTTCATTTTTATTCAAAAGATAATCTACAGACAAGACAGTTTTCCTCACTACAGACAATGGACATATGAATTTCTAAAAACAATAAATACAGGGAAGGCATCAAACAGCCCAATTTATAACAAATACATTGACACCCCTTCAGATTATTAAAAAGAAAAAAAATCTGTTACAAGTGTTAAATCTGTACGGATTTTAGTTAATCTGTCCAGTATTTACACTAATATAAATCTAAGAACAACGAGGAGTGGAATAGCTAGTACACATATTCTCTCTATAGACTCATTTTAGTGCACTTAAACAGAATGTACCCAGCTACAGAAATACTCACATCAAAGCCAAACTCAGCTTTAAAAGTCTGTGCAAAACATTCACCCTCAATAGACATCATGAATATGTAAGATTATTTTCATTTTGACACCCTCAGACTTAAACAGGAATTCCCTCCTGAGAGAGGGCATACACACCTCTTTGAAAATGAAGAAGTTGAGTAGAACCATTCCAAAGTTGTAAACAACCAACAGGAAACGTAACTGGAAGGGTTCTCTTGTCTTCATCCATTTGGGGCCCAGCCAGACAGTGAGGAGATAAATAGTGCTTATAGTCAGTGTTGGAAATGGAGACTGCATCAAGGGCCAATCATCAACACGTTTGTCTGGGGGGGGTGAAGCAAACAGAAGGAGTCAAGGTCTAGACAAAAATATATTTTATCATAATTTTCAGCATTGCATTTGTTAAGTATTATTATCTCCTGGAATAGCTGCATCAGATAGTAGAAACACAATACACTCATTCTTTCCAGGAAGGTTAAAGAAAATAGCTTTAAAACCCCCACTATATCACATTAACTCACACAGAGATTCATTATGTCATGCAAGTTCTATTGTACAGTTCTACAATCCAAAACAATAAAGCAAACAGAATCACATGAGCCCAAACCCAACCCACTAATCCCCCCCAAACCAATTTTGCTTATGATGAACAGTGACTGCAGTGGCAACGTAACCAAATATTCAGCACCACTGCAAGTGAAAAGATACACAAAACTGGCAAAATACTGAAAAAATTAACAGGTTTTATTAGTTTAAAATTAGGCACTAGGAAGCCTTCTATTATTTTTTTAATACAGGTTGTATGATGTTAACCAAGTACCTTTGCTATTTGATGTAGATCAGTCTCATATGTTTCAGACAGAATACTAACGTTAACTGGAAAACAACTAAATAAAAGAGTTTAAAGGGATGGTTCTAGTTAGAGTAATCTCTGCTGCTATACAGGAGACAAAGGTTTTATTTACAGTCTCTTTCAGTCACTCATGGAATCCAGAGTTACACATATTCTAGAGCCCAGAATATGCTAAATTCTGGATCTGTATCAAAAAAGCACCCTTAGCATGATGAACCAGTGACATCTAGGTTTAGAAGATGGCTTTGTTACGGAGGAGGGAAGGGAGAGACTACTGTGACACCTCCTTACTCAGCGTTTCCTTCCCCCCACCTCACCATATGAAGGTTAATCTCTAGTTATAGCAAGAAATAAAAGGTAACTATTCCATAACTACCAATACTTCAGATACTGCACAGCTCTACAGTACTAACTGGATTACTTTCCAGATGCTTAGGCCAGCTGAAGTTCAGATGGAAATCACGCCACAGGGTTCCTTGGGAAGTTCAGACATCTAAACACACCTGTCTTCAGTCATTTGTGAGCAAGCTCATAAATAGCAATGTAGTTGCCCACAGACTTACTTAGAGGACAAGTTTCTTTTGGAGAACTGTTTTTCTTCATGGTAACCCAAAGACAGTGAAAAGAACCTATACCACATATTAATTCCTGATCCCAGGCATACTAACGGGTAAGTTAGAAAACCCTTCTTAGCTACAAAATGAGGAACTCTGATGCAGTGAAAAAAGCACAGAACAGCACTGCCATTACTCCTCCACTTTTCTCTCGTTTCCTTGGTTGTCCTTAAAATCATAAATTAGAACCTCATTTTAGGAGCAGGTTTCATGAGACCCTCTATTTCTAATGAACACCACATATTGTTATCTACAGAAAGACAGTGTGCATTGCACCTGTCTCTTCTTTCTTCCAGTTGATTTAATAATACTTGATCTCACGTTGCAACTAAGATTCTAGGAGGCCTAAACAGTAGTGGAAAAGAAGAGAAAACAGCCTAGCTGCTTCCATTATGGCTGTTAATGTCAGAAGAGCGAAGTCATCCTAGTACACAGAAACCTCCAGCAAGGCTGATGCTACCAGAGTGACAGGAGTCAGCCTTGCGACCACAGCCACCGATAGAAGCCAAGGGCAAGGTAGGGCAAGGAGTACAGGGAGGAGTGGCAAAAAATTGCCTGTGTAGAAACACAGGCAGCAAAACAGAACTGAAGACAGTGAGAGAAGTCAGTCAGTTACCTCTTACTTTTCAGCAAGTTCCTGGAACAGACGCTTCTATTAAAATATAATGTACTTTCTGTAAAACATGAAAACAATTGCTTTATAGTACAGTTTAGTGTCTTGGGATGTAAAGGAACATTTGGATGTAAAGCCCCATTTCCAGACTTCACTGAAGGTTACCTATTGAAGCTGAAATCATAACACTGCGTTGCAATTATTACAGTACTATCTCCCTTACACTTTAGTTCCTGCTCGGTTTTAGCAATTGCTCTACCAATCTGAATTTAAAAGTAAAAGATAACATCATTTAAAAGACAAAAGAAATGGAAAACCTCAACATCCACCTGATAATGGCAATGGGCAAAGACTCATCTCCACCAAGCAAGAAGAAAGGTGTCACTTCTTAATTAAGAGACAACTCTGGGAATAGCTAATGTGTGACATGCTTTAACCAAATCCACAGCTCACTTCAGACACTGTAGCATGCAACAAGTTAAGCGCAGGTGAGGCAAGAGGACTGGTTGCTTTGCCAGCCTTCTTGCACTAAGCAATATAAAGAAGCAAGAACATGCTAGAGAATCTCTCTTCTATTTTCTAACCCAGCATTTCATGGGATGCTGAATGCTAAAGTGACAATATGAAAAGCGTGAAAAAGGAAGAAGATTTTAATTTTACCCAGAAGCTGAATGTAACCTACTGCTGAAAATAAGAAATCATGACCTATCCCAGATTTCTTCTGGTGACAGGAGACAAAGATTTCTAGAGGGAAAACAAGAATTCACTAGAGGTGAAAGACAGAGGGACAACTTCTATGAAAGTCCAGCTGCAAGTGGGCTTTGCCCCACACTTCATCAGTGCTGTAAACAATTCTTTCACCTACTTTCCATAAATACTACAAATTGAAGAACTTAACTGGAGAAAACCAAGAGATCCATTTAATTAACTCTGACAGCAACATAAGAGCACCTGGGCAGCTGGTATTACACTTCCATACCTGTACCATGGTTTCAGCCTGTTACTTTTCATTTGCACAGTTTTGGACAGTGGGACACCACATCTCAGAGACAAGTCTTAAAGTATTTGCAAGAAAAGCATAGCTTACTGATACAGACTGCATAACACACAGCCCAGGGATTCTATTGGATTGGGATTTTGGGGGCATGACCTCTCCTAGAACAATCAGTTACGCTTTGAACACAAAATACCTGTATGAGAGAGAACACAGTAGGCAATTCAGTTCTGGAGTATATCCTGGCCAAAACAGAAGCATATCAATAGTCAAAAAGTTTATTCTAATTCCTGCTGTGCTAACTAAAAACACCACCTTGCATTTATTTTAAGGGCATTTAGGAGACTCTGCACATGATTATTTTTTACTAATACTGTGGCATCAGAAAGCATGCTACTATTCATCCCAGAATTTGTGAGATTTAGAAACCTGTTCATCACAAGATCTTGCCTGGATAATGCAAAGTAACCTGTTCAGTTTTAAACCAGCTCCATGCACCATTCCTGTTGCACAGAAGATATTACAAAACCAATTTCATTTCAGTTTATCAGGCAAGCCTGCTTGTCTGTGTTCTACACAGAAAACAGTTACATGCAGACTGACCCTTGTTCTGAACTTCTTTTCAGATACCCTCTTCCAAACCAAGATAAATTGACTCTCTTAAGTCATCTCCTTAACTGACAAACCTCCCAAGATACTCCAATACCCTCCTCCCTCACATCCCCACCCTGTTTTAGCAAAAGCAGCATAATTTTGTGTCCTACTGACTAGCTGGTGCTGATGACCACAAATGATTTCTGCAAATTACAGAGAATGTCTACAGTTTAAGGGGACATATGAGTGTATTAAATCCTGTAATACTTCACACACTATAAGTACATTATTACTTGAAAGATGAAATAAGCTTGAAATAAAAAGGCCAGCTCCCTGAATTAAAAAATCCTTCCAACTGCTTTGCAGCAAAATGACCAATGCCTTCACCTGATTAGAATTGACAGAGACTGACTGAATCTTTCAGGGGATTAATGCATTTATCTTTCAAATCCTAAGACCCAGATTCTAATTCGATCACAAATAAAATGTCTGTTGTGATGGCATAGGCTGTATAGTACAGTGCTTTTTTTGTAAGGTAGGAGAAGTTTTAGAACAAACATTTCAGGTTGCACTCAATCATAAAGGTGAATCCAGAGTAGCATAAGGCAGCTGCTAACATGTTCCTGATAAAAAATTACTGTTATTTAAGGAAAGAATATGAAATGCTTATATACACAAGGTTTTCCTGTCATTTTGTGTATATACATTTTAAAGTTTCACATTGTAAAGACAAGACAAGAAATAGAACATATATATATATATATATATATATAAAAATAAATAATTGAAATTGCCCTGAGGCACCTACCCTTGCAGGATTTAATTCTTTACATGGGGCAATTAACAGGAAATACACACATAAAAACCTCCGATTTATTCCTCCAAAGCAAGAACAAGGGCAGAGCCAGTGAAAGGGACTGAATATCCTACCTGGTAATGTCCAAAGAGGACATAATTATATTGAAATATGGAACGCAAATGAAGATAAACTTCAATAAGTAAGGCTGCACTGATGGTGAAACCTCTGTGAAACGTGTTTTAATATGCAAATACTTCTGTTAAATGTGGTTCAGCACTTCCTTTCCAATAGAGAGGATTTCAGATGGTTAAATTTCCTTTATATTACTGAGCCTATGATAATTTTGTTTTCTTTCATCAAGTAGTACAAACTTCAAGAATAAGCAAACAAATGCACAGCATAGTCGCTCCTACATTCATCAGGAAAAATCCTGAAACAGTGCGATGGTGACTACATCTGCTTTTAAAACTAGTTTTAGTATGCATTTTAAACAAAATACATTACTTTTTAATTTCCCTACATTCATATTAGATTCAAAAAAAATCAATATTTAGTAAGTCTTTATTTTCACTCAAACATTATATGCATTCTTAGCTATAAGGTCGCTACTCACTAATTTATCTGGAGAGCCTTTCGAAGTTATTAATAGCTATTGATACTATTCTCAGCGCAAAGACACTTACAGTGCCAATCCAGCACATCCATCTGTCCAATTACATTTCTAAAGACACTGCAGAAATGATGGTGACTGTTTAAAAGTGGTTCTTAACAGTGAGAGCTCCCTGCAGATCACACAGTTTATTTTAACAATAAAAAAGACCAATCTGAAATTTAAGAAAGATATAATTAAACAAGTGAAATTTTAATTCCACTATATAAGGAAGGCAAACCAGTATTATCTAATTGGAGTACTGCTCTACAAACTACACTGTTTTAATTATTTAAGAATTTCCCATATCTTATTAGCTCCACTAGCACTATAATTGAAGGATATTACAAACTGAAAACACGTATTAAGAAGACATGTGAGAAACGTAACTTCATACACCCTAAAATGTTTTAAAAGCTTTCAAATTAAATACCTTAGCAGTATTTCAGTGACCCCCTCTCCCTCTCTGCTTTCTGGTTAGGGAGTAATATTCTATACAACGTACTTCTCTTTCTGCATTTGTGTTAGAAATACTGTCTCAGTCCTGTAAATATTTAAAAGTGAATCTAAGTTTCACTGCGGCTATATAACCACTGCAGACTGGCTCAGCTGAAATTAAATTCAGATAGACATCTACATGATTAGACCCTAAGCTTTTAAACTAAATGGAGTAACACATCAAAATCACATACAAGTGTCTGCCAGTTTGTAGACATTCCAAGAAAAAAAGTTCAGTCTGACTAAAACCTCAGAATGTACAGATAGAACAATAACAGCAATAAACTGAGCCTTTAAAGCAGTACATGACTAACTACATGGGCTGCACAACTTGAGACTGAAGACTGTCAGAGAAGTACCACTGCAGAATCAAAATTGAGAGGCCATATATCTTTGGACTGAATACCTACAGAAGTTAAATTTTTCTATTCACTTACTTATTACAATTTTAATGGAGCAGTTTATATGGCCCAAAATTATTATTTTCTAAGTGTCCCTTGCTTGAATTGTCTGCTTTGATACTGATTATTCATTACACGTATTGCACTCTAATCTTCAATTAACTCAGTTCATCAAGTTTCTTTACAGAAAAAAGTCGATGTCCTCCTAGGAGGGACTGTGCAGACAAATTGCTGCAGGAAAGCAAAAGGATTGGAACACTAGGAATGTCCAGTTTATGATTCTTTCTCACCTTTATCTCACCTATCAAACCTGGCAATGTCTGCAGGCTCTGGCACTATGGGTATTTCTAAGGAGTCTGACAGGGTCAGAGATACTGGTACCTAACTCAGGAACATTGCAATCTAGTATAATCTACAAAACAAAGGCCATGAAACTTCCCTTAATATACATTTTAGCTAAGAGATCTTCCTCAGAAGAATTTCCCATTTTACTATAGAATATGTCTTTTCAGAGACAGAGAACCCAAGTAGAACATATAACAGCTTGCTGTAAAATGTTAACTAGACCCACTGCCATACATTTGCTCCCTAAAGACCAAGGATTTAGGATTATAGTTTGACCAGTTAGTGATACTTTTCTCTGCTAAACTGAAGACCCATCTTTTACCAATTTTTTTTTTTTTTTTCAATCCTCATTTGGGCAGTTACAAGCAGCTATCAGATCACTCACTAGCTGCTTTTTTTAAAAATGCATTTTAATTTACGTAAAGAAACACCTTATTTCATTCACCTGAAGGCATATTTTCCAATCCTTTAACCATTTTCATGGCTCTTTTCTGGATCCTCGACAAACATTTAAATCAGCCTGTTTTAAATCCCCGCCACTTTCCATCACAGAAGAATTCTGTATTATTACAATAACATCATAGAACCAGTAGTGGTTATGATTGGCAAGAAAACAAATAGGTATGTTACTGGTAAAGCTAAGGATGACACATACACACAATACCATGTAACAGTTACTAAAGCCTGGCACAAAAAAGCACAACAGGTGGCCTGATTTAAGTAATTTTTTTTAAAATACAGAAGAGTACAGAAAAAACATGTTTACTTTGATCTTCAAGAATGCATGGAAATATCAGAGTTAAGTATTTGTCTACCTTCAAGCTTTAACTAGCCAAGAAGAAACAACTTTGGGCTGAGAACAATAGACATCAACATTTATGGCAAATCACTGTCATTTTAACAAGCTATGAAACATCAAGCTAACATGCAAAAATAAAAATATTCAGTATCAAACCCCATGAATAATGAAAACATATACTCTGAAAAACAAAACAACAAAATCCACATATTTTAAAAGTTTGCCAATGAAGCTATACGAATCCTGTTGCACTCAGAAATGAGGTGCCTGCCCCAAACCCAAAAGGACTACAGACAAGACTAAGAGGTACTGCCTATAACCAGATGTGGGGTGGGGTTTTTTTGTTGTTTTTTATTTTTTTTTAATTTCAGGGCTTTGTAATTCACTGTTTAGTCTTTTTTAAACCTATATACAGAAAAATAAAATCAAAATACTACACAGCTAAGAATCTCCTGAAGCTAATGAACACCTGTGCAATATGCATATATTTCATAAATTCCCATTAAAATAATAGGAATACCTAACCTCAATTTGTTGTTAAAAGGTCAGATGTATTTTTGCTAGTATTCCTGTTATTCCAACTAGCATGCTAGTCTTCTTGGGACTCCCATCATTCAATCACTAATACCATATTCTCTTTGTGCCTGTACAGAGCAGATACACTTGTTTCAAGGCAAAGCTAATAACTGAATTATTATGAAGTTCAGGAGCCATATCAATTCACCATTAAGTTGCGGTATTTTCAAGTCTAAAAGATTGACTTGTTCAAATTATTTTTGATTTACATCCTCTGTTGATTATGATTATTTGTGAGGACAGTGCAAACACTCTGCTTCAAGGAATAAAAAAAATATAATCCTCATTAAAGCTTACACAAGATTTGCAAGACAGCAAGCCCTTGAGGCACGTGGCATTCTTCTGTTCGTCACCTTATTTCTCCAAAGATCAGAAAAGCAAGATGCATTCCTAGTGCAGTGATACCTGCATTCCTTTTCTTAAATGTTACAAGTTATGGAATAAATAGATAAAGAAAACAGATGGAAAAAAAAAACCCAACCAACCCATGGGATGCAAGTTTATGAACTAGTTGCAGAACTCTATGAACCAGCCCATGACTCCATATTTCTAAAGAAATAAAAGTGCTGCATAAAACACTTCAATAAACTTTCCTTCCACACTGTTTTGTTTGGGGTTATTTTGTTGTTTGTGTTGTTGTTGTTGTTTTGTTTTTTTTTTTTCTTTTTTAATTGAAACTTTTATTCAAATTTCTCTGGTCTTAGCCAAAACTATTCTGGAGAGCTCAGACTGGAGATGTCACTACTCCACACAGAAGTGGTGGGTTCTGGTCCTATGAAAATCGTTGTAGGAGTGTCATTAAGCAGTAATACAAACACAAGATTTATGCACATTCAACGTTGCAATAACAGATTAGACTACTGGCCCATCTAGTGTGATTCAGTGGATGATCACAGCATAAATCTTCTCCATAAACAGATTTTTTTTTATTAGATTCTCTCAGTTAGACGATAACAACCTTGAAAAATGTGAAGGATTATTAATAACAGTTTAATAATAACTCTGCAAGGCCTTATCCACTGTAGAGACGTGTCAGCATACACGGGACGGTAAATTCAGCACTGATGTATGTCTTGCTAATGTGCTAACACAGCACAAGGTTACTGATGCTTAGCTACACAGCAAATGTAAACAATTTATATTGCTGCTCTCGTAACACAGAATGATTTGGGTTGCAGGTGCGCATTTAGAGACTCCTAGATGCACTGACTGAACATGTATGAAAACCAGCAATAGCAAGTGAAATCTACCTAAAAACAATACCAGAAAGCTACTGGAGAACATTTATGAGAAGCTGCACAGAAGTCTCTCTGATAAACTACTCACTTTTTCTGTTTGCATCAGCATGAAGATGCTGCTCATCAATTTTATTTTACAGAAGGATGAATGAGGTAGGAATTATGAGTAAAAACTACAAAAGGAGTTATTGAAATATATTTGCTCCTATTTTCAAAGTTCAGGGGCAGAAGTAAAATGTATAGTTGCGAGATATTTAAGGTCTTCCATTAGCCTAACACAAATACATCAGTCAAAACCTCCAAAGAAAAATAATACTGCAAAACACTTAGAATTTTTTTCCTAACATGCCTTTGACATCAGCAAAGATGACGAATCTTCAGTGGGAATAGAAAAAAACACCCAACACCATAAAAAGAGACTAATTTTTAACTGATGATTTTCAAAGCATGAACTGAATGAGAAAATGTTCTTATACCTAAAGATGGCCAGAAGAACAATCAGTGTCTGAATCTTTCACTCACTAAGCATGCAGTAGAAAAATCATCAGTTTGGCAGTTAGATAATGCCATATGCAAATGACTGATACAACTACATCTCTTCTCTTTAACAGCCGTGTTACCTTTCATGGTAACATATGGCCCCCAAATCTAAGACTCTCCGGTGTCTTCTGCAATGCAGTTTCTCACTCTTGA